ATCCCCAAAAAGTCGGCAGCGCGCTCGTAATTCCTCCGTTGTTACGGGTGACTATGGACGGCGCTGATTGCTTTCCAACAAGTTATCCGTTCGCTAATTTGCCGACCCGTAGCATAAAAAAGTTACAAAAATCACATGTAATTTTTTTTCAGTTCCTCACAAATGTCTTTCGGTAAAAATATGCATTCGTATTCTTTTATAAATGTATTAAGCGTTTCTTTTACGTCATGCCGTTGATAAGTGTTATACAGATTAGAATCACAGTTCGTTAGTAGGTATGGCTTTTTATTTTTGAATGCGGTTGATTTGCGTTCATTCCGTGGTTTTATAATTACGTAATTTGCACTATATGTAGAACAATGACGTATTATATATAGACACGTCATGAACCAACATCGCGGCGCTTAAAAACGGCGCAAATATTAGATAACTACTTCTACGAGTAAAGAAAGGGAAAGAAAATATGACATCGTATAGTGGAATGCCTTTGCTAGAGGGAGATAAATATACATCTTCAGTTATGCCGACGGCACGTGACTCATGTGCCGGGCGCCATAAGATGGCGGGCGCCGGCGTCGAAAAAAATAAAATAAAAATAGGTTGTTTGGTGAACTTACGCATGAAATGACACATTTTTGTCTTTAACTTTTGGAGTATAATTTGTACATCGTCTGAACATACGCAACGACATGCTTTCTTTATGTTTCGCAAAGGTTTACACACACGATTTAAATTAAAAACAAACGTAGCGTCGCGCGGCAGGTTGGTGCGTAACTAAGCGCGATGTTGTCAATTGCCTTCATTTCATGTGGTCATTTTAGAGCGCGGACAACATATCTATAGTTTTATACATCATTGATGTAGAATGATAAAAATGGAAAGGATTTTTTTTCCCGAAAGTCTAGGTTCAAAACTGATTTCTCCTAAATACTTATTAATAACAAGGGAGAGCGAGTCGTGGTCTTAGGCTGATCACACGTATAATAATACACAATTTTTCCCTAGATACATGGAGCTGAAGGCATCCACAGCATTCACAGACTCGCAATCAAGACCTCTCAGGCTCAGAAACCGAAATCTTATTAAGTGAAACACTGTGTTATAGCAAAGTAAAAGTTTAGAACCTTACAACAATATGCGATCGCTACGTCAGAGGAACCATCGATCCCATGAGCCATTTCAAACAATAAGAGCCAGGTAATAATTGTATGATGGACGACAGTAATATCATCATTAACCTAACCCTACAAAGACCAGAAAGTCTAAGCAAATACATAGAAATAATTACTTATCTGCGAAAATTGATACGAAAATCATGAAGGAACAAAGATTTGACGTACATATATGTACGTACGTAAGTAAATCATTAAAATGTCACGCAGTAATGCTAGCTGGTACTATGGGATATTGTGAGCAGGAACACACCGGGAGGCAATTGCAGCCCTAACGCTGATGAATACAAGCGAGCTCGAGGCAGCTAGCGGTGTGCTACGAAATTTAATCTACCCCAGTCTGCCACCCATCGCCTCCACAACCCCACCCTAGCATGAGCCATCTAGTACATAGGTATACATAGACATCTATATACCGTCTGCATACATACAGCACGGGGCTGATGAAAAATATTGAAATTGAAACATGATTGCAAGACGATATTAATTTATGAACCGTTAACTTATAGACAACTAGTGGTATTCTATCTATTTGTATTAATATGAGATACTATGCATATCATTAAATAAACATAGCCGTATTTTCAGCAACAAAACTTTTTTTTAATTATTTGAATTAAGAACAAAATTTTGAACGTTGTCTTATTAGTCAGGATGAAAGAGTTTAAAAGGTATAGATGATATGGACAGACATGTTTTAATAAGCCTGTCTTCAATAAGCCTAAGTATATCATTATATTGAATAACTACTAGGTAATCATTTCCAGTATTATTACGAAAGCAAGTTAAAATACGTTAACGCGACTTGAATACAATACAGACAAACGCGCGTAATAACTCTAATAAAGGGTAGGGTTTGTTATTGACGTTGCCATGTGAACGATTAATATAGGTAGTCTGACTGTGCCTAGGTACAGCGCGATACGGCGTCTACCTACGTACCACACACAAGTACCAGGCAGCGTAGCCAACCGTTAGAAATGAGATAAAAAAACTGCCAACACAATATGAACAAAAAACCGCTTCGATTGTTGCTGGCCAGATTCTCCGAGCGGTAGTTCTTGGGAATTGTAAGACAAAATACAACTTGTTACCTACCTGAGTTTCGGCTCTTCATAAAAACAAAGTTAAAAAGGGACAAAATATCACCACGACCGGCTTGTTTCTTTACTTGACCAAAGTGTTATCTCTGATATTTGCACTTTTGCCTTGAAATATTTTCCTTAATCTATTCGCTATTGTTTTCTAGTAGTTACTAGAAGAGGTAAAATAAAATTTCTTGTGAATGATTTCAAATCTTCAGATCTAAAGCTTATGATTAAGTGGTACGTTGACCCCTTTGAACTAAAATTTTAAGTAATGAGGAGTACTTTAGTTATTGAGTATATTATGACATATTACAACATTATAGCCAAACAAATCTTAATAGAAAAGTTTTTTATGTTAATAAATATAATCAGGGAGAAAATAAGAGAGGTACTTAATCAGGTAGATTACTTTTATCAACATTGCTTTTGATAGAAAACTCTATCGCAACTATCTTCTACGCTTGATAACGGTGCGGTGATACAGCGGTGCGGTTATCAATAATGTAATTCATTCGTTAATGTTTTAAAAAGCAACTTTTAATCCACATCGTGCTTTTCGCCGTATGCTATGTAAATTACAGGGTAGAGCGAGAACGCGCTGCGTTGTCGTCCTTGTCGCACCCCACGAAAGCCTCCTGAAAATATCTATTGATTATCGTATACGTGCGGGTTGGTACGTATAGTCCGCCACCTCGCCCTGTATTATGTCGACTGCCGTCGAGTGCCAATTTATTTGAAGAATGCTCGTAGTGAAGCGAGCAAGCTGTACCCGGTGCAGTGACGCGACCAGATCACACGTCATGCCCACCTACGTACACCTGCTCGGTAAACAGACTGCCAATGTGTATACTACGGCAGCTTATAAATAGTAGCCCGAACGATAAACTACAGTATCCAGAACGGAAAGATTTCAGAGTGATTAATAATTTGCTAAAGTACTACGCATTGGTTGGATCTGTCTTTGTTTGAGAACAGGCTCATCGCACTGTTGAGTACGTATTGTATGCATCTGGAGCTGCAACGCTAGATGCCTATGTTATCATCAGCTAGCTGACTTACGTACCTACATAACCATGATGACATGACGTAGACGTACGCTTATGTCGAGACCTGTCGGGCTGGCCTGAGAGCAAAAGGTTGTGAACCTGGGTTGCCGCCGCTGGCACTCCCACAATTGTGGGTAATTTTACTATTTACTTTTTATTATTTATTACTACCGGTTATGTTTTAGTCGTTATCGATAAAATCACACGTGCTTATTATCATCATATTGCTGAACCACACAATCACTTAATTATTTTGTTAAAATTTCTAGAGCTTTGCGTGAATATTTTGCTAGATAACAAAAGAATTGTTGAGTCAGGTATGAGACGGTTTACTTTGTCCATATTACCAAAAAATGGGTTTTTAGCTTCGATATTGTGACAATGTGTTTTAATTTTGTCTCGTACATATAAAGACATTCTACCTATGAGTGATGCAAAGATGTGAGTGGCATGTGTCATTATTAAGTATCACACTGGAGCCCAAACCGCTTGTTGTATAAATGTGGAACTTGGATATGGATGAATCCTATATACTTACTTGCATCTACTAACTTCGATGTGTTCTTTGTAGTTGTTTTCTTTTGCAATGTTTTTTCCTGAACATCATCTGAAGGAACTACAGAAAAATGGGGTCATTTGTTTATTAAAATTCGTGATTTATCAGAGTTCAAACAGGGTAAAAAGATCATTTCTGGACGAATTAAATTTAACTTCTAATCGTACTTGGTTATTAAAATTTATTTAATTTTTAATCCTACCTTTTGTACGCGACTCAATAGTACGCGACGAATAGTAACTTCCTGCAGATTATCGATATAAAAGATATTCAAAGGTATTGAGTACTTATTGAGTATTAAAAACTATCATTCCTGTCTGTTCTCGAGTTCCAAAGTATGTCTGTACCAAGTTTCTAAACTACTTTATCAATTTTAATTCGATTTATAGTTAAAAGAGGTGATCCGTCACCCACAAAAATATACAAATAAGATTAGAGATTAAATATCTACTCACCATGTGGAAAAATAGATCTAATATAAAACTATTAGTTATATTTACAAGCATGTTTTGGAAACCAAAGTTTAAGTTTTAATAATACCTACTACAAAATTAAATCCAATAATAAATAAGATGGGAGTTTAACAGCCAGTATGTTGGTATCATTGCATTCACAAGAAACGGAACGCGCTTGCGCGAGCTCGACGGGTGGACGCGGCGCGGAGGGTCGCAAGGCCGGGGCGCGGCGAGCGGGGAGGGGCGACGTCACGTCGAACAACGCAGCCCATACACTACTAAATTCAGAAGGCCCCTCCGTACATCTCGCTCGCGTTTGCCAACGGTCTTTCTCATTGTCTCGGGTTAAAACTTGCCTGCGTCGCGCGAGTCGTCCAACGCGATTACGCGAGGTGGGAACTGCGAGATCGGTAGTAAAAGTGGCCTCTCTGTGTGACTGTGCTGTGCAGTGATGATTTTACGTTAAACATTGTGTGTATAAATAAACTATTGTGGAGTTTGACTATCTTCGAGTGTAAATAGACTTGTTACTGGTTCGAAATAAGAATTAAACGCCCTGTAAAAAGAATGATATGCGAAGAACGTCGCTGTCAAAATAAGGCGGAAAATAAATAAATAGGGTTAAAACACAACGGCGCGTTTCAAGTCGTAATATAAAAAGGACCTAATGTAGTGCTGTTTAACAGTGAGTTTCGCGTGGCAAAAACAAAGTGGATGACCGAATTGCTGAAATAAATTATCATGCTTACTGATATTTCGTTGAACAGAGTGAGAAACCTGTGATTGTGTTGGTGTATGTGATCATCATGGAACAGGGGATCCGCTGGCGTACTCGAGCGTACCGGTGGAGTTAGTCGAGGCCACAGCCTTTTGAAATAGGTACCGGTTTTGAATTATCATTTTGTTTGATTTATAATACTGCTCGGTTCAGACGGGTGCAGGTGGCTTGCACTCCTCTATCGCCACGATTATTGCTAACATATTTTAAAGACATGTGTGAAGATAGCAACACTAATTGTTATTATTAGTGCCCAGTAATTAATTGGTCTCAAAAATATCTACAGATTTCTTACATTAGACAATTGTCTGTTATCCTAATATTACGACATCTAAACCTTGTTCGAGCTATGATTGCAATTCTTCTTATTTGTGTAATTGTCAATTTAAGTGACATGTTTTCCTCTTTTTTTACAGATTACCGTAGCAGCGATGGAGACAGTATCAGAGACTGGGGTACAACCCCTAAATCAGCATGATAAAGACGTAACTGAAAGTGATAAAGACCCAGTGGAAGAACGGAGAGAGGAAGACGGTTTTCTTGAGATAAAAGATGAAAAATGTAGTGACAGTGACGCTCACAGTGAAGATCTTAGCTCTAATGATGAACAAAGTAATGTAATCAGTAGTAGTAACTCTCAGTTTTATGAGAGCAGTGACAGTAAAATAGACTATGCGGTAAAAATAGATGACAATGATACATTAAGTGACATAGACGATATCAAAACAGACAGTGCTTCAGCTGACAGTGAAGATTCTGCTCTAGGTAGTCTTCCACCAGATAGTGCTCTCAATGATAGGGAAGAAGAAGCTCAAGATCGGTCAGAAGGTAGCGATTCAGGCCTAGGATCAGAAGTTAATGATGATGTGAAAATACCAAGCTTCAATCTTGCTCTTCCTTGCACTTCTAGCCTAAACATTGTCAAGTCATCAGATGAATTGGACAACAAAAATGATAACTTTAGTAGCAGCAATAGTAGTAATAATATCACTAGTAGTGAGAACAATGTAGATAATGGCCATAATTCCGTAGCACAAGTTAAGCCTCTCAAAAGTAGTCTTAAGAGAAAATGTAGTGATAATGTTAACGAGCCACCTACTAAGAAGCGGAAAGACAGTATAACATTCGATAATGTTACAGTATTCTACTTCCCTAGAGCCCAAGGATTCTCATGCGTCCCGTCGCAAGGAGGCTCCACGTTAGGAATGGAATGGGAACATTCTCACATACAAAAATTTACTCTAGCTGAACATGCTTTGGAGCAGAGAAGGTTACACAGACAAATATTGCAGCAGCTGAAGAGTGAACGGCATTCGTTACAAGGCGTATCACTATCCTCCAGTGAAGACAGTGATACCGAAGAAGAAACGAGTGATATTTCTGAATCCGAGCTTGACTTAGATAGTTACTTTTTCTTACAACCGGTTCCTACAAGGCAGAGGAGAGCTCTGTTACGTGCGGCCGGAGTAAGAAAAATAGAGGGATATGAAAAAGATGAATGTAGAGACATAAGAACATCGCGTGAATTCTGCGGTTGTGCTTGTAAAGGAACTTGTAACCCGGAAAATTGTTCATGCAGCTTAGCTGGAATTAAATGCCAAGTCGATCGATTGAACTTCCCCTGTGGATGCACAAGAGATGGGTGCGCCAATACTACAGGGCGGATAGAATTTAATCCAGTAAGAGTGCGGACGCATTTCATCCAGACTCTAATGAGAATAGGTCTGGAGAAGAAAAATGAAGAGAATCAAGAGGCTGCTAAGAGGCAATGGCTAGAGGCCCATAATAACTCTACATCTTGTTCGTCAAATTCATCGTATGAGAGAGAGCGGTGTCTTAGTCACGAAGATGGTATGTTACGTGATGTGAGCCTTACCCCGAGGGTGGAAGTTGAATCTTGCGTCAATACGGGAAGTTTTAATAATGTTCATTGTGATATGAACAATTCTACACAGAATAGTGACATGTCATATGGCTATAGAAGCGAGCCTTCTAACCACAATAATGTAAATGACGGCAGCATCATGCACTTTGAGAATACAAACAATCATCACAGCCACAGTGACCCTTACACGTCAAACATACTCCAAGGCAAAGGCCCTCCTTACTCGGCGGCCAACACCATGGGTTTTGACTCCATATCAAATAACATGCAGCGTTTCCCCTGTGATCTCAATTATGGATATGAACAGCAAACGGAACATCATTTCAAAGGCCTGCAAACTTTCTCAGCTACCAGTTTTGAGGAGTTTGCCCACAGCTCTCAGATGACCATGTTTAGTCATTATGGCCACATGTACGTACCAGATTACTTGCATAAATCCACGGGAAATGTACATGAACACGCTTCAATGCAGTACCATGGTTCACAACATAATCATTATGGAATGTACAAAAACAGTTCAGATTGTATAAATAATGACAACAAAAGTGATACTCATTATACTACTCTAATGACATTGCCATATCAAGCTAGTAATAGGATGCAAGCTGTAGAAAATGATGAGAACTGGTTCAGTCACAACACGTTGCTGAGCTTGGACCACGCGGACCAGACCACGCAGGATGCCTCGGACTCACAGTCTCAGTCTGCCGAGACGCCAACGGAAAGCAATAATACCGAGACTACGGAAAATTTCGGTGAACTTATTAAAAAAACTATGGTAGAATCTGTTACTGTGTAGATGAATTACTTGTTGTATTTTAATCATCTTAATTATCATGTTATGAAATTTTTAATTATATTAATTGGTAAACTCAAAGAACTACTTTATTGAAAATCTCTCAAATGTGTAGGGTCACCCATGTATAACTTTATTTATCACTATAAATAAACATCTGTGCTCATAATAATCAGTAAATATTGATAACTAAACGAGTATCGCATTTGTTGAACTTCACGTTATGTCCGTTTCGAGCACAAACACTTTTAAATTAAAAACTAAGTAATTTAATAAAATATTATAACGCACTGAGACAAAACATGAGGAATAAAAATGTAAACACGCTATCGCAGTTCAGATATACACGTAAAGGTATTGGTAGAACAATTTGAATATCACTCACTAGGTAAACGTGCGCAGACAGTGTATCAAGGACGTCTGCTACAGCCTCTCGAGACACAAACAATAACACTCACTCACTACACATATCAATAATTACCGGAGCTACCTTACTGCCTTTACTTGCCACGTAACTCATTAGACTGTAAATTCTTCTTGGTTATTATAATAACAGAAATAACTATTCACACAATTTTAACTTAAACAAAATTCTCCTTATTCATAAACATAACATAAGCAATAGGTACCATGCCTTAGTTTCCCTTAATAGAGTGAGTCTGATAGGTCCGTAGATCTATTTTATTAAGGGCTCATTTTTCAATGATTAGATAAAAGTTACCTGAGGAATAATTTGACGCTGTCGCGTCAGAATGTTTGTATAAGACAGTGACAGCAACAAATTTTATTCTTCAGATAACATTTATCTGATTATTGTAAAATCAGCCCTAAGATATCACCTTTCATCAGTTATGCTACGACCATATATAAAAGAGCTTGTCTATACTCCTTCGGCTTAAACGTCACCAGATACTTAGATAATTTCTAAAATCGAAAAGCTCAATAATTAGGTATTTCACGACCCTGAGATCGAAGCCGAAACTCCTCTCTCGGCATGCAAGTAAGAGGGAAGAAAAACAGCCATAGCTTTATCACGCTTTTTTGCACAACCAAAAGTATAAGCAGAAGTGCGCAAGACAAAAAGTAAATCCTTTCTGTTTCTTTAAAAAAATACACTGCATATCTCTTATGTTATGTATTCCATGTAATTTATTATATTGTAAGCCTTATGGCCATTTATGAATAATAAAAAAATATAAATTTGTAATATTATCATTTGCAATAGACTGGACTTCTCTCAGTTCAAAAGATAGTGAATGCTTAATCGAGGTCACCCAGTTCTTTTTTTCTTTATTGATATCGTTATTAAATCTACGTATAGGTACCTATGTAGTGCTATGGTATGATAAAGAATGAAGTATAATAAACTAGCTTTTACCCGCGACTTTTTTCGCGAGGAATAGTGACTTTCTGCAGATTTTTCGTTTAAAAACTATCCTTTGTCCTTTCTCGAGTTCCAAACTATGTCTGTACCAAATTTCACACAAATAGGTTCAGTAGTTTAGGCGTGAAGAGAAGATAGACAGACAGACAGGGTTACTTTCGCATTTATAATATTAATTTGAATGTTATAAAATATGAAAAAATGATGATATAAAATATGAATTAATAATGAAGAGCTAATACCTATTTGTAAGTTTGTATGTTTGTAAGTTTGGAATCGCTGGTCGGATTGCCAAAATTCTATCACTGATAGATAGCTACAATTTTGCTGAGTGCTATAGGCTATAAAATATCACGCTACAATCAAATGGTGCTAAGCAGCGGGTGAAACCGCGCGAGAGTAGCTAGTGTTCACATAATATTGTAATTTAAAAGTGGAACTACTTACTTTAAAGGCACTAAGTTGTTGCTATTAATAGCAACAATTGGTTGAGAGATAACAGGGAAGGCGTTATGCTTGCAAATAAGAAGACAGTGGACCGCGTGAAGAAACAATCCTCCTCACGCCATAGCCACCGCAGGACACTCCTTAAAAAGGAACATTCTTCTCCTGAAGATTCACTTATTAACGAATCGTCTACATGGTAAAAATCCAGTGTCTAGTTCTCTAGAATGTTATAATGTTTATTTATAAAATCACCCTTATTCTTAAATAAGTATCTATATTATGTAGAATGTGGTTAGATACAGGATCATATTTATTCAAACAGAAGGGTGAGTAGGGAGCTTATTCTTTTTTTTTGTTATACTGATTTCGCCCGCACGTCAGCCCGTTGTAGTCGACAGCATGCTGGAGTCAGGCTAACAATTATTATTTAAACGCTAGGGCAACTCCATAACCAGTTAAGATATACCTAATCACTTCTTACTTAAGTACCTAGGTACATCTTTTTCCAAAGTGCTCTATTCTATCTGCATGAATAGGTATTATATAAAAATTTGTAATGTTAGGTAAGACATACCATTAATTACGGAATCCTAGGTATGCAAGGATTGCTTTCGGTCGATGATCCAATTACTATACCTATATATATATATATATACTTAGTTCAGTCCAAAGAGAAACTTTTGAATGAAAAACAAAATTCCTACAGACATATTATGAACTGGGGTGAACATACGATATCTGGGTAATTTTAACTCTTTTTGGAGCGTAGGCGAGACCGCAGCTAAAAGCTTATAATTAACTAAAGAGAAAAAATATGTAGATCACTTAACGAAAACACATTTCATAAATATAAAATTGGCATCCGTTCGGCAATTGGTTGGCTATATATTATTTGGTACAATGAGCCCCATAATAAAGACTAGCAGAAGCCGTAATTAGATTATGCTAGTCTGCTACAAACCTCTTTAGAATATTTTTAGGTGTTATGCCCATCATCATCATCAGCCCATAAGCGCTCACTGCTGAATAAAGGCTTCTTCTCACACGGAGGTTTGAGCATTAGGTACTCAACACGCTTGCTCAATGGGGGTTTGAGACTTAAAACTTATAATAAGAAATTATCCAAGTCCAGGTTTCAGGTATGTCAGTGGTGTCTAAATAATTATAGTAAGTACATGTATCTCAAAAAAAGTCACGTTGGCACTTCCCAGGTTTCGAACCCACACCCTTATGCATGAGAAGCTCCTTAACCTCCGGGCTACCACGACCTACGAAACCGGATACGATTATCATCATAATATTATAAGATATCCATCGCTCATAGACTTCCCCAATGGCTTTCAGATTACATGTATCATATCAGCTACCTACTACAGCATAATAGTTTGTCAGAAAAAATAAGTCTGTGAAGGTAATTAATCAAAAACGATGTTTCACACAAGATTAAAATACCCAAGAATAAATATAGGTTAGAAAAATACTCGTTCGTGCCAACAAAAAAGCTTCATTCCTATCTGATTCATTGATGTGTTCACCTGCACGTTGCATGCAAACACTGGAATTATTGCCCTTGACATCTGACAAGGCATCGAAAAAATACTCTCTCATATATCTCTAAAATATGAAAATTACTAAATCTATTTCGAACTTCATTAGTTTGTTTTTAAAGTTGTTATTGCATTGAAGAGATTTCAGTTAAGGTTATGTTGATTTGCCAGCTGTTTATTTATACATGTGTAGGTATATAGGTAGATTTTATAAGCTACGGCGCATAAAGAAATAATGTTCGATCCAGACACCGCCCTTCATTCCGGGGCGGCCGGGCGGCAGGCGCCTTGTCGCGCGGTCGTAATTGCTTGGTAACGGAAGTCGAGCCAATAAATGTGCAGTTTTTAAATTGAACGAGCAAAACCTATTTTCGAAATAAAAAATAATATCAACTTTTTAAGTCAAAGTGATAAGCAGCTCATTTTAATAAGTGGTACTGGTTTCCTTTTGCGAATACTGTTAACAAGGTCTTATTAGTAGATAACATAATATCAAGCCACTTTTTTATTAGTTCACGTTCCATGGTTCATTGCAGGCTCCCACATTTATGTATTAGTGATTTCAGACTTTTGATGAACTACTAAGAATTTTAAAGTTGGGTAAGTAATGGTAATATAATAAAACGTAGCCTTATTCGAGATCGAACTTGAAATAAAAAGCTAAACAGTCGTATGGTATAGGTAACAGCTGATGCACAAAAATATATACTAGTAACAAAATGGAAAACCAAATTACTAAAACGATAACTCTTTATTGGACATATTCTCATTTTGTCTTTTATACTGTTACATCTATAACACAATCATAAATCTTTTTTCTTTACGTATTGTTCGAATATCACAATGTTTATAAATACATAAATTTTCTCTTTCATGATTTTTAATACTGTGGAGGTGGCGTACGTCAGGAACTATGCTTGGTTTCCCAAATCTTGACAATTTTATCTTCACTGGCCGTGATCAATGTTTTTGAGATCTCGTCAAAATAGACGTTGTTGATAGAATCTGAAACAAAACACATTCTTCAGTAACATGCAAGCATTATTAACAGGTAGGTAAGATTAGAAAACGATTTCAGTAGCTTTATACTTTTTTTTGTGAGGAGAAAATCGAGGACGGGAGGGAGTGTCAGACTCTTACTGACTTAGACCCCCCCGTTCCTTCTCCTGCTCTGGGCCGAGGCCGCGGTGCCTCATTGCGCTCACCCCGCAACCCCGGCTGAACATCAGCCCTATAGGGCCCCGTCTGTGGCGGTATATTGCCTCTTTGAGGCTGGTAAGCTATATACTGAGATTTTTTTAGTATATTTTTGGACAATGATGTGAATGAGTCTTGTCTTGCTAAATAATGTCAGGATTCTGATTAAGATATCGAAAGTCACAATCAAAGGCATATCACATAAGTATCTACAATCTCTATACTCCTTTACGGTGTAAAGAAAATAAACATGCATAAAATAACTAAGAATTAAAGTTTAACATTACTACGATGTCAAAATTAAAAAAAGTCAAATAATGTATTTCAATCAGACCTTAAAACTAAGACGCTTTTCAAAGTAAAACAAAGATTTAAAGACAAAAGTGGTAATTTGAATCATTTCGAAGTGTAGATTCGTAAAGAGAGCCAGAAGCAAGAAACTCCGTAGTTACTCTTTTCCTATCAGTCTTACAATGTTTCCTGTCTTTCTTTGTAAAATAAAACA